GAACTCAAAGAATCATGTCAGGATGAATTGGAATTTCACAGGAAAAAGGCCAATTGGGCAGTTATGCCAAGAAAAAGGGACTTTAGTAACCTCTACACGCAATTTGGTAAGGATAGGTATGGTGGACAGGGCGTTATGATGTTTGAAAGACTTGCTGAAAGGCTTGAACAATACAAGAAAGACAACCCTGAAGCTACTACTTGTTACCAGATATATAAAGGTGATAATACGCCTCTTATAATTGCTATTGTAACGCCTCTCATGAACCGTGCACACAAGGAAGTGCAGCAGTCTGGTGAGATGGTTTTTGTTGATGCTACTTCTAATACAGAAGAGCACAATCTTAAAGTGTTTTTAATGTGCACAAACAATGTATCTGGAGCACTTCCACTTGGCATCTTGATCACCAGTGATGAGCAGGAGCGTACACTTAAACAGTCATCCTTACAGACAACTGTAAAGAGGAAAGAAATGCTCTGAAGTCTGTTTGGCCAACATCTGTTTTACTTCTTTGCATCTTCCACATGCTCCAACAACTTTGGAGATGGCTTCACAAGAGCAAGAACGTATCAGCCAAGCAGATAGACCCTATTTTCTCACCCTTTTCAAGAGGCCCTTATATGCCGAGACAAAACAAGATTTTGAGAACTGCTTCAGTGAACTTTTGAATGATGGCCGTTGCAAGAAATACCCAAATCTAGTCAGCTATTTGCAAAATCTATACAATGACAAAGAATCTTTTGCTCTATGCTTTAGAACTGAACTGCCTGTTAGAGGTAACCACACCAACAATTTTGCAGAGGCTCAGTTTTTGGTTCTTAAGGATGTAATTCTGCAGCGCACCAAAGAGTACAACGTTGTTGGGCTTCTAGACAAGCTGACTATTGATCTAGAAGATCACTACAAGAATAAGCTCCTTAGTATTTCTGATGGGAGTTTTGATGGCGTGTACAGACATCAATTCTTTGGCAAAGGGAAAGACGGAAGTACAGGGTTTAAAGTCCCCGATAAAAAAGATCTTGATGCCTACCTCTCAACTGTAGAGAACTTTGGCAATAATGTATTCAAAGTTGGAAGCTCTTCAGATAGCAGTCACAGGTCAGTAGTATTTTTTCTTAGCCATCACAATAGCATAACACTCTGATGGTACAAGAGGGCATGTGTGGGTGGGCATTATTTTCCTATCTTTCCCCCATCTAGGCTCCTCCCCTTTGGAGCAAAAATACAATAAAAAATGGGTACATAACATGCATAACATATGAGATACATGTAATTCCTGCAGTTCCTCCATATGTTGCATTCCAAGGATGTTGATTTAGCATAAGGAAGACCAAAACATGAGTAATATA